CCGAAATAAGACCGAAAAATTTGATGTGAATCAACAGTAACAACTGTAGTAGTCCATCTCATATTATCTCTATTATTGGAATTATAATGTATAGGTAAATATTTTTTATTACATTGTCGTATCTTAATCGGTCATTCACTGAGAAAAATGACTGTAATTATGTGATCAAAACCTGAATTCGTTAGTCATCTAGTGATATGATTTGGATAAACCCTTTGTAGAGCTATAAAAAAAAAGGGTACCAAATTAGATCATTAACAACTAACAGATTTTAGTTTTGAATCATATAATTTTACCTATATAAATCCAGAGTCATTTTTCTAGAACGGATCCTATATAATCTCTTATTAATTATTTGTGCAGGCCATATTATCAACATGTACCTTATAAAAAGTATTGGGCTGGATACGAAAGTATAATGAAATCTTATGATGGACGACCTCATTGGGCAAAGGTTTTTCTTTTATTCATTTTTTTTTATGCTTTATTTTTCTGCGTTACTATATTACAAATTTTATTATGTTAATAGGCACATACAATGTTCAAACATGAACTTGAAAAAGCATATCCAAAATTTCAAGATTTTATAAAACTTCAAAAACAGTTAGATCCTACTGGATTATTTCTAAATCCTTATTTAAAGAGACATTTCTTTGGAGAGAACGTTGATTTAAAAAGTCTTCAATCGAGACTGTGAAGAAAAAGATTGTATTTTTTAAAAGGAAGATTTATTTTGCTTGCAAAATATTTGCATTTGTTTTTTTTATTAGCATTTAAGGTTCAATACTACAATGAAATCGGAAAACTAAGAAATTAAAATATGACGATAAATCATCTTCAAATTCATATGTTATATAATGTAGAGTTTGTTCTACTAACACTATGCACCAGTTAAAACGTTCTCAAATACAATTTCCATAATTTTTCATCGCAGATATCTATCTATATTACTCTTTGTCAAAATACTTTATCCTGCATTACCACCATGGTTATTTTTCATAACTTTATGTGTAATATTACCTTTATTGCTTATCTTGTTAGTAGCTTCAGCCATTCTCTTCCCTCGTTTAGTACTATCTCGTGTGTCAATCAATAAAGACCAGATGGATCACATTATCTTCATGCCTCAATAATTCTGATATTCTTTTGTTATCTCTGATGGATTTTATTGTAAAAAAAACAATTAAATTTTTAGCTCTTAGAAGTTTTCTTCGTTATTACCATACATTAGGCTCAGGATTGTCGTTGAACTTATTCCAGTCCTTCGCAGGTTACTGAACTGGTCCTTTTATTTATTCGTTATTTTGTCAATCTAATTGATATCTTGATATTTTATACATAAATAATTTTTTAATTTGGTGGTTTGCTTTGAATGTACTATCGTTATCAAAATGACCATCTTAATGAAACGACTCTAGTGAGTTCAGAATTATCAAAATCTACTGTAATGCACCGCCCTGGTCAAACATATTAAATCAAACATATTTGTACGTAGACCCTTATTAGTATAATGAATGCAATGCTCTGTGGTAATAATTTACGTAATAGGAAAAATATTATGGTATTATCCTTAAAATGAACGTTATGTACGTACGTACGTATAGACGCCATGATTTAACTTAAACTTATTTTCTATAAAATATAAATACGTACGTACGTACGTACGTAATGTACGTAATATATAAAATATATAACAGATAAGTTTTATTCCAGTAAAATTGTGTTATTTTCTTTCACAGAAAGGATCATGAGATGTCACAATAGTAATATATAAGTTGATTATAGAATTATTTTTCAAAATTATTCGCCCACTTTGCACACATAAAAATTTAAAAAAGTACACATGTCACAAAATTTATAAATGTCAAATGATCAACCGATGATTACTAATTTCATTTCTTACCAGCTTTAACAAATAAAAAAAATGGACCAAAGTGCAAAAGAAGAAATCCTCAAATACGTTAAGGAAAATTTATCAAAAATTCACTTTAAAACTTTAAGAGCTAATGAGGTCGAACAAAGTGATGATGAAAAATTACGGATCATGCGTCAAACACTGAATGATCCTGCTTTGTTTTTATCAAAGTGGGGAAAATTTCTCGAAAAAGAACAATTGATGTTGTTTGATAGGCTTAGAGGTAATTTTCTATTCAATACTGGATTTAGTTACAATCAACCTTTATCGTTATAATTATTTGGATGTTATATTATGTATTTAATAGATTTATTTTATAGAGTTATTTGTAGGGTGGATTGGTTGTAAAATAATTTATAACTTTCTTTTAATATTTCAATCTCATTATCGTCCCCTCATATGTGCACAGATGATTATGAAGTAAATTGGCACTTAAATAATCTCCAGTCAAAAACCTCGTCTTATTCAACATTAGCCGCATCTCGTAATATTAATCCGACAGCTCGTCACAATAAACAAATTTTAAACAGAAGATATAGATACTTAATCACTAAACTTGATGATACTTCATACTTTAGTGATGAAGCAATGGAACGTAGAGAACCATTATTATATGAAGATTATGTGGGGCAATATACTTCACAAGAAGAGAGATATCCACCCTTTGCTGATAATGTTGATTTAGTTGATCGGATTTTGTACGATATTGGTTTGTATAAATCTTGGTTTAAATGGAAAAATTTAATACATAGTAATTTATTCGTTAATTCATGATTTAATAACTTAAATAGATCAGAATTATATACATGATAGGCTGGAGCATGAACGAAGAATTAGGAACGAACAGTTTGAAGAGGAAGATGATGATTTTGAGGAATTATCATTGGGAATTGACAATGACACAAAAATAGTCAAAGATATCGATAAGCCGTCAGTTCAAAATGGAAATTATATGAACACAGGGAATGATCAATCCAGTGCAGCAATGATGATAGATAGTTCGCCGAGAAATGATTCCATTAGCATTAATGAAACAAATGATATGGAAGGACAACAGAATTCCACAAGAGCGTCTGTGGACCAACGCATGCAAATATCAGATGAGGAAAGGGAACAGTTGAGAGCCGATCTTGTTGATATTATGAGAGAAAGGTTTTTCGCTGGAAACGATGTAAGAATTAGTTCACGTTTCATAATTATATAGATTAATTTGGGGACTCACTCTACTGTTTTCATAATAGCCAGATTTCGATTACGACGCAGTGGATTTTAATGAAGAATACGATGATCTTAATGTTGAAGAACAGGAAATCCATGGTATAAAGCTTTAATTCTTAGTAAAATAGATGCATTATGTTAAAAATTCTTATTAATATATTATAATTGCCTATTACTAGATAAATATTTTGATAACGGTAGGAGTTGTATAAGTATTTAAAAGTTTGTTCAGAATATATTCATTAAAATTATTTATTTATTGTAGAAGATCCAGATGTTCTGGATAGCGGAACCGGTATTTTGGATTATTGATTTTTTTTTTGGCGTAAGTAATAGATAGAGCTTTTTTTGTTCATTATGCTTGTAAATACATTCATAACGTCTTTTTGTATTTACGTCTTATGTTTCTTTTAGAAATAATATCAGAAAGAAAATCATACAATTCCTGCAAACTATACATAAATCAAGAGCTAATTCATTCTTTGCTCATGATATTCCAAGTAAACTTTTAATACAACTAGCAGCACAAAGTTTTCACTCGAATGCGATGGTTAAAACTTCTGACATAGCCAAACCATTGGCAATTCATTGGAGATTTGTACTTAAGAATCTCTAGAAAATCGGGCCAGTGGACGAAAACGATCTATAATTAATAGCAATTTCATTAAAGCGATTGTAATGGAAAGGACTATCTTAGCATTAGTTGTTGAAAGTTAAATAATTTAAGATTAAGTAGTTATTAGTCAGATGTTCAAACGTGAAACCAAAGTTAGTATTAGAGCAAATAATTATGTTTTATTTTCTAACTAATGTGATTGTAGGTTTTGTGATTGTAAGAATTAATGCTTGTATTATAAATAAAAACTTTTTATTAGTTTTTTTTTTTCACTTCGGTAATCCTGCCTTCTTATACCGCTTTATTGAATTGTTATCCATATAGTGGCACAGGATCTTCAGATATTGTTTTTAAAGACTTCTCTAGTTTGAATATCAAATACAGTAAGTAGTTTATCTAAGAAAAAATAAAAAAACTTAATCTTACTGTAAATTATTTAAAATATTTATGTTTTAATATATTATATTTAGAGATTTTATTAATATAGTCAGACCTCGATATAATCACCAAGTTCGAAAACAAATATTGGTGATTATAAAAAAGTGTAGCTATATAAAAGTCAAATTTTATACAGTATGTTTTATAATATCTAGAATTAAGAAATAATGTAACTATAACAAGGTTGTGACTATATTAAGAGTGACTATAACGAGGTCTAACTGTAATTTGTAATAAAAAATTTTAAATAATTTTATATTTCTGGTTTTGAATTTTTAATTTGCTTTTGGTAAGTTGATTTAAATAATTATTAAAAAAAGGATTTGTTTTTTATTAGTTTTAGAAATATAAAATTTCTTTAAAATTAATGGATTGGATTTAGGCCTTTGTACTACCGGTAGTACACTTTATAAAACTTATACAGAACCGAAAATATAATC